TAAAAAGGAAAAAAAAAAAAAAAAAAAAAAAACCCTGAAATTTTATGTCTGACTCTCAAATCCTGTAAGTTTAAGCCTCATTTCCATTCTATATCCCCGACATCACTAGATGATTAGGGGCTTACTTGAGGAGGATCTGAAGAACTCTTCAAGATTTGTGAGATGGTAATTTAATTTCTGAAATTATGTCTGTCTGTTATCCATCCTACCTTCTCCAAAACACCTACTCAACAAACGTATCCTGTGTCCCAACTAACTCCATGGCATTTTGTGCTTTAAAATTAGTTTAGTCTATAGAATATACCTCTCATCTAGCCTCTGATACCTAGCTCCATGATGACAATTTAGGGAACTAGAGGTTATCAGGAGACCATAAACCCAAACATGCTGTAGGAAAAAACCATAAGCTCTAGACCTGGTTCTGGTTGAGATTGAGTTCGATGACCTGCAGCTCCCCCACTATGTCAGGTATACTCCGAATCTGGTTCTTGGAGAGATCCACCACATCCAGGTGCTGTAGGCTACAAAGTTGTGGTGGTAGTGCTCCCAGTTGGTTCCCAGAGAGTCCCAAGGTCTTGAGGGCAGACAGTTGCCCAAAGGTAGATGGCAGCTCTCTCAGGTGATTGTTGTTTAGGCTTAGCGTCTCTAGTTTTTTCAGATTGCATAACTCATCAGGAAGAGCAGCTGGCAAAGAAAATTTTTTTAAAACCTGAATTTGATAGAGCTAAAAACACCTTTTATGAAGTTTATAAAGACCATATGGCAGCCTGCTTCATCTCTTGTTAATATACATATAATTCCCACATGTGCCATTTTTGGGTATTGCATTTTACCTACATAGTCTTCAGAAGGTAAGGGTAGCATCAAAATGCAGGAGAGCATTTATGTGTAAAGGGGTCTAGGCACAATGCAAAAGTAATTTGTGAGATTTTAATGGGCTCCTTTTGTAAAGGGGTCTAGGCACAATGCAAAAGTAATTTGTGAGATTTGGAAGATCCTCCCCTTCCTATTCCATCCCTCCTTTCAAATTAGGTAGGTCTATTTACATCACATCCCAAAGATGTTCTTCCCTTTCAAGTCCAAATTAACCCAGTAACAATCATTATACCACCCAAGGAGGCTTGTAGATGTAATTACAAGAGGTAGAAAGCTTCAAGGACTCTGACATTCTACATCTTGAGCCCTCTGAACGGTTTCATAACAATAACAACAAAAAGCAGGCTTGCAAGAGAAGACCACCCTTCCTAACAGCGGATCACTAGCAAAAGCTTCCCAGGCGCAAAAGCCTCCCAGGCGCAAAAGCCATACTCAATTTGTTGTTGTTCAGGGAGAGGCTCTTCAACAGAGTGAACTTCCCTATCAGCAAAGGCGGTAGGCTCTCGATCTTGTTGTTGGACAAGTCGATGGTCCTGAGATTGCTCGTCAGCTTCTGCAACTCTGAGGGGAACTGGAGAAGGAGTTCACAGCGTGGAGAATCCCTCACCAATTAACTTCGTCGCCCCCGCCGTCCCTCTCCCCTTAAGTTCCCTAGTTGGGTCCCTGCCAGTCTCACCTCGGTCAATCCACGGTCCTTAAGCTGAAAGACACCAGTTTTCTGCGCCGTTTCCACATGAGCGCGGAGAGCACTGTTTCCCATCGTAGCGCCGCGGCTAAGGTCCCTGCGGGAAAGAAGCGCAGCTGTCACCGCCCAGTCCAGGCACACAGCCACCCCGTCGACCTCCCGGCTGGGTCTCCCACACCAGCTGTCACCTCTCGCCGATCCCTGGATCCGGGGGGCCAGCCCAAGAATGGCAAGGAAGAAAGAGAACAGACAGCCTGAATACCAAGCCCTGCCGCTTTTGCAGCTATGCCGAGGCCAGGAGCCTCTGAAAGCCTATGGAAGATCAGGGAGCCCCGGACTCGCCTTCTACAGCTGGTCTGACAGAGGGGTCCGCAGTGGGGGCCGGCACCCGCGCCAGCCTGGGATGCACTCCTCGGGCTTCAGCCCAGGTGGGAACGCCCTGTGACGTCATCGAGGCGCGCCGCGCGTTTGCCCAGCTTTCCGCTCACTCTGGGCGCCAACGGGGAGGTGCGTCTGAGCCATGGCTGCCGCCAGCCCCAGGGACCCGGAGTCCGAGCCAAACGCCGCTGGGCTACTGCTGGGTCACTTCGTAGCTTCGGGGGTGGTCAGTCAGGTGCGTGTTGACGGCAGTAGCGTCATCAAAGGGGTGCCTACGTTGGCGACAGAATATGGCTGTGAGATGGTGCTGCTGGCTGCAGAAGAGTTTGAAGGTGCTGGTTGGGGCTGTACTAGCGTAAGGGCGGATAGAGCCCCTTCTAAGGCAACAGCAGTGATCATTCTGCCGTGGGCTCTTCGAAACAGGGCATGAGTAGATGGTGTTCTGAGTAGACTTTGTTTTGAGTGTCTGCAGGCAAATTGTCCCAGGCCAGTTTGTGGGAGATAAGATAGACCAGTGTTCCTCTGCTTTTTTTCGTTCACTGATAACCGCCTCTAAATTGTAGTGTGCGATGGGGTTGGGAAATACGGCTAGGTAATTAAACAAGCATTCCCAGCAACTGTCGTTTGTGGGAGGAATTGAAGCATATTTGGAGCGGGAGGCGCTGTGTACCGAAGGCGCCAGAAGCAGTTTTTATTTATTTGTTTGTTTATTTATTTATATCTTTAAAGGGAGGAAAAAAAGAGTATTGGTGAAAGAGACATAAAAGACCTTGAAACGTGAATGGAGGAAGAGATTAACTTTAAGAAGAAGAGAAAAGAGGGATTAGCCCAAGGCATGGCTTAGGTTGGGTAAGAAGAGCCCAATGGGTAAGAAGGGCATGTTCATAGGTCAGGAGGAAGGAGCCAATACAAGGAGAAATTGAACATGTGAAGGAATAGTGGAATACAAGAGGCAGAAGTAACAGAAGGGAACGGGGAATGTGGAATCAAGGACATTGAGATCGAGGAAAAGAAATTTTGATATAAAGAGGAAGTTGAGGAATTTCATTAAAAAGGAAACAGAAAAGTTAAAAGGTAAACTCATCTGCAGAAAGTAGCAGTATAAATAAGATGGAAGATATAAGGAAAAAATGCAACTTTTTGTACTTAGAGTCATTAAAGACTTCTAATACCTAGCAGTATTTTTTATATTAAGAAACATAGGCCTAAAAGACCAGGAAACTTGCCCAAGGTCACTCAACTAGTGAGATAGAATTAGATCCCAGAGCTATCCCTTTTCTGACACATTGTGTCATCGTTTAAGATGAACTGTGATAATATACTGTGATATTATCTTGAAAGATTTTAAACTTTTGTTGAAGACAGTGTCATGTTCAGGGATTTCAGGTGGTCCTAGTTAACCAGCGACCACAGCACTGGCCAGTTGAATCCTTCCTCACTTCTCTTCGGTGTTTTCTTCTGGCCAAGTTACTTAGTACTCTCTTGTAATGTACAATTTTATTGTCACAAAATAATTTGGTAAACTCATACTGTAGGACATTTAGGCTTAGTATCCCTCTAGAAAGTGTTGGTAGGAAATATAAATGCCTAAACCAAAAAAGTAAGGCACCCTTGAAAGAATTTTAGTCCATTGATGAGTGAGCTCACTTTTGGTGTGGTGGTTGTTGGGAGGGAGGTGATGATCCTGCTGTCTCTCAAGTACGTTAATTAGTCAGTTACCTGTTTTTTTTTTTGTTTGTTTGTTTGTTTGTT